TTTTTAAAAAATGTTCAAAAATGAATTGCTTATTAAATATACGGAATTTGTATACGGAATCTATAGAAACGTACATAAAATGTATACAAAACGTATCCTTTCCGTATACATATTTCTTATAGGGCTCCATGGAAATCGTTGCAATGTGATAATAAACTTTTTTATGTATTAGATAATTAACAATTATTATTATTATTTTTAAATGTTATTTATAACACGAGTTACCTCATACAATAAATACCTGATGATTACATGACATACTCAAGGATGCTAATTTAGGTAAGGCTTTGAATTAGTTTGGGTAATTATGAATGATTATATTATAGTACGTAGAAGAGAAGTCCTTTTAAGTAGAAATTTAAATTTTTAAGAAAAAAATTTATTATTTTCAAAGGACAAATATACAAAAAAAAATTCATGTGTTACTTTTTGTTTTAGTTTTTTTAAGCATAGACAAATTTAATAATTATTTTTGCGTTTATAAACTCTCAAATATATATATTTATTGCGTTGCATCATCATATATAAACGTTAATTTAAATTTTTTTGGAAACGACATGATTGAATTTGTCACATGGTTTATCAGTGGCGCAGTTTTAGGCGTGATATGTAACGTTATTAATTTTAGTTAGAATTATTTCAAATATGGTTGGCTTCAAACAAAAAATAAATGAAATTTTATTTACAAAATAAAAAAAAAATAACAATAAATGAATAAATTTGCAAAAAAAAAGAAGAAAAGAATAATACAATAAATTAATGGAAATATCTATTCGTAGGATTAGGATTAGGATTAGGATTAGGATTACGGTAATAATGAATTAATTAATTAAAGGGTTAAATAACTATAATGAATGACAGAACCCTAAATTAATTTTAAAAACATAAATTATTATACATTATTTGTATAATAATATTGACATACTAGAATTCCATTTATATAAATAGAATTCAAATTTGTTTGATTACTTATTTTTATGGCAGAATCCGCCATTTCGTTAGAGACTGAAACGGTTGTATAATCGTATCTAATACCATCATTTACAACCATTGTTGCAAGCGTACGAGTGAATTGATGATATTGTTGTTGTTGTTGATGCAGCTGAGGTTGATGAGGTTGCTGAGGTTGCTGATGTTGTTGTTGAGATTGTTGAGGATATTGAGGGCATTGAGAATGTTGAGAATAATGAGAATATTGAGAATAATGAAATTGAGGTTGTTGAGGTTGTGGATATTGTGGATATTGTTGATATTGTTGATAGTGTAGAAATTGTTGAAATTGTTGAAGTTGTTGAAATTGTTGATATTCGGAATCTTCAAAATTGTAATATTCATATAAAATATAAGCAGAAGATGAATAATAAGATTCCATAATGATTTTTTAGAAATTAAAAAGTAGGGCGAAAAAGAAAAATAATTTTATTGTTTGTATAATAATTTTTTTGTTTTCAATTATATTTTTGATTTTTTGATTTCTTGATTTTTTTGAATTTTTTTTTGAAGAAAAATACCTTTGACCTTTAGACCTATTTATAACTATTTTCATCTTAAAGATAATCTTACCGAATATTAAATATTATTGTAAAATTAAGAACAGTTAGCAAGCTGCGGTAAATAACCTTTTGTTTGATTGACATGCAGGTTTTATTCAATTTCTTTTTTTGTAGATAAATACCTAAGAGTAATCATCATCATGGTTACTGAATTTAATATAATGCATATATTGCATATACGTGAGAAAATCATAATTTATACAATATTATAGAGTATCAGAGTATTATGCTTCAAAAGCGAATAAAAATTAACAATTTTTATCATTTATAAAGTTATAATAAAACAGGATTTAAAACATATCAAGGAAATTATTATGAAACAATTTTTCTCCTGTAAACCTCTAATGAAAGGATAAATTTGGTTAATAAAAGAAGATAAGAAGAGATAAGGGGATGCGAAATAGTGTCATAGTTGTCATTGTTGTAAAAAAAAAAAAACTTGTTTGTGAGAATTTTTATTTTTCATAAATTTTATAAATTGTATCAGGCTGTATTACGATCAGCAGGTTTTTTTCTTTTACATTCCATGAACATCTTACCATAAGAAAATTTGTTTCATAAAGATAGGACAAAAATGAAACTATATTGTTCTTCACTTTCTTTTCTATTCTTCGAAGTTACTAGAACAATGGTTTAAACTGCAATTAATGTATCACGACAATTTATCAGTTCGCGGAGTTATCAATATTTCTAATTTTCGATCTTACCTTATTTTTATTTATTGTCATTGTGTTGAATATATTTTTTTTATTAATAAAAAAGTAATAAATTATTAATTTTTTCTTTTTCATAAAAATAAACCAATTAGGTACGTATTTTCCTTTTTTTTTATTGATACCAGATACGCTTAAGGTTTATTTACAAATCATGGGTGGGGAAAAAAAAAATATCCTGTTTATTTATTTACATTATTTGTTTACATTTTTTTGGGGGCTGAAGACTGCATTAAAATAACATGAGCCGATTAAAATGATACTTAATAATTTCAATGAATAGGATAAATTTTTTTGATATATTTTATTTTGTTTCATATTTGGTTAAATCGATGTTTTGTGAAATTATCCTAATCTGGGAACATCGGCTGGATTTTTTTGGAATTGTATTGCAATCACCGCAGTAAGGGATCCGATCAATTCCATTTTGATGTTTCAATTGTAACATTGTATAACATTGTAAAACCTTGTTACCTATTTCATGACACAAAAAATTTCTAAAAGAGGCAATCGAAAGAGAACAAAAGAATTTTTTTTTTTTTTTTTTTTTTTT